CCACCACTGCCAGGTGGGTGTTTGACCTGGACAGACTGGGGACAGGGAGAGCCAAGGCGTGGGAGGTTGGCGGGAGCTCACCAGAGACAGGGCTGCAGTAGGGGAAGGGGTGGCTACCTGGTCTGCTGGTAAGAGGGTCAATCTGGGGCTGAGGCAGATAACCAAGGCTCAGACCAATCCATCACTGGCTGGCCCCCAGGTATCTGTCTCCATCCTCAAAGACTGGTCCATGGCTTGGGATCCTTTGCAGCTGGGACTCTGTCCACAGTCAGCAGAAACTTGCCTGGAGTTGCAGGTGAGCAGTAGCTCACTGGCCTCTCCTTTCTGCTCCAGGTCATCATGAAGTCCTGCTCTGGAATTAATTTTGAAGAGTTTTACCAATTCCTCAAGGTCATTGCTGAAAGGAGGCTCCTCCTAGTGAAGAAGATAAGCCCTGGTGAACTGCAGTGCAGTGAGGACTCTGGGCTGGGCCTCCAGCACACCATTTTTGACATCAGCCGGATTGCTGAGGTGCTGGCGTCTGTGGTGGTCAACCCCGACTTCCAGAGAGTGGACACCAGCAGGTTTTTGCCGCAACCAGAGGACCTCCTACAGCAGCTGCAGGAGGCCCTGGCCACCACAGAGCCTCTTTAGTGTGTGCCATGAGCGTTAGTTGGCAGCCTGACAAGGATTCTCAAGGCCCTGCTCCACGGTCCCTTTCAGAAATAAAGCTCCATCCTCTGTGGGCTGGGACATGTGGCCTCCCAGATATGGTTCCTGCTCTTAAGGGTCTGGTACTGTCCTGGCATCCCAGACTTCAGTGCCTGTCCAGAGGGTCCAGGTTCCTTGTCCTTGGGAGGCCCAGCAGGACTGAGGACTCAGATCTGGTGAGGGGGTGGGTGAAGAGTTGTTGGTAGCCTGGACCTGTGGCAAGGCTGTGGGTATGCTGGGGACTCAGGAGTGTGAGCAGCATGTGGCTGATTTTTCTTGGTGTCCCTAGCCTGCCCTTCGCAGAGACCAGCACCAAGCTGATGGGCTTCCCATCCACAGCAGCACAGGGTAATGAATTGTCTTGCAGGCCCACTCTACAGTAGCATCACACCCCCCAGAGTCCACGCCGATTCCTCTGGAGCAAGCCCCCTGGAGTGGGGTAGAGACTGGGGCCCAAGGCACCTCCATGCTGCAGGACCTGTGTCTATCCCACATTCGAAGCACTGTTTAAATAGCTCCCTCCTTTCCTCCACTGGCCCCTGGCCCCCTTGGCAAGGTCCTGAGCCAGAGATGTCATATTGGTCTGTGCTCTAGGCCAACCCTTCAGGTATCACAGGCACTGTATTCAGGGGACACTCAGCCCTGCTGACAGTAAGTGGCAAGTCAGAACACCCGTTGCCTCCCTTTTGCTTGCTGCAGCAACACCTTCCCCTTCAGAGACTTCATTCAGGGACAGCCCTTTGCTCCCAACCAGCAGTAAGAGGATCTACCTGTAGGCCAGATGGAGCCCAGGCCTCTTCCACACCTTGCACATCCATTCTGCACCACCCACCTACTTGTTGCAACAACCATTCTGCACACTCATTCTTTCCATCTATTTCCCAACCCTTACACATCTCTTCTGTGCCAAGCAAATCAATTATTACACACTGTTCTACATTTTAACCTCTGCATGCTTATCTGCACCATCCAATTTCTACCCCCTGCACACCTGTGTGTCACTGTGATGGTATGAATGCTCTCCAGGGAAGCGGAACCAAGCTGTATGAAAAGAGATGGGGCTGGTGAGTGTGAATCTGCAGAGAAGGCTGGAGCCCCAGAGAAGAGTTGACATTATATTCTTGGATCCAAAGGCTGGACTCCGGCAAAGTTTCTGTGTTGTAGTCTGGAGGCAAAATTGCTTCTTCATAAACCTTGGTCCTTGCTCTTAAGGCCTCAACTGATTAGACAGGGCCCACCCACATTATGGCAGGGTCATTTGCTTTACTCAGTCTGCTGAGTTAAACATGAATTTCATCTAAAAACCTTTGAGGGCGTATCCACACTGGTGTTTGACCAAGTGGTGCTGTGGCCTTGCCACTTTGGCATATAAATGTGACCAGTGTAATCACTCTGCTTGTTCATTTGGATTCAGCAGTCACTGCTTACTCCAGCACCCACTTCTTAACACACCCACACTGACATTCAGCAGTCTCCTTGCACAGTTACTACGGGCAATCCAATAACCCCCCTTTGGTGTACTCACCTGCACCCATGCTCTTCCATTTGACTCCCTCAGTACAATTCCCTGAGTGTTTTGTTTGTTTGTTTTTAATCCTCACCCGAGGATATTTTTCCATTGATTTTTAGAGAGAGAGAAATATTGATGTGAGAGAAATACATCAGTTGGTTGCCTCCTGCATGAGCCCCGACCAGGGCCTGGGCCTGCAACCAAGTTACGTCCCTTTGACCAGACTCGACCTGGGGCCCTTCGGTCTGCAGGCCGACGCTCTATCCACTGAGCCAAACCAGCTAGGGCTCCTGGGTGTTTTTCAACCACTGGTTTGCCACAGTGTGTGACTAAACTATTCATATCACTGTGTAATTCTGCAACCACCCATTGCACACTTGTTCTATACCAACCAACTTCCACTGTTTGCATGCCCTCTCTACTATTTAATAACTGCACACACTGTGTAATTCAAGAGTCACGGTCTCATTCTCCATTCAACCTCACACTTTGCACACCCAGTGTTTGCCATTCACAGTCAACTTTTACCCACTCACCATGTGCAGTTCAACAACCAATCTGTGTGCATGCATCTCACTCCATCCAACTTTTCCTCCAGCACACCCTCTGTGGCATTTAACAACTGCTTTTCTAATGCTCACAACTCGCTTTTCACAGCCACCGTGTGCTGTTAAACAGTATCTTGTTGCACACTCCCTGTGCAAGAGCCACTCTGAACACTTGCTGGTTACCAACCACTATTCACCATTCTGCTCTTTCCAGCTCCCATACTGCACCACTGTGAGCCAGTGCTTGCACATTCACTGCAAGTTAACAACTACTGCATGCATGTCAATCCAGTCTTTCCTTGCACATTAGCCCTACACTATCTGAGTTCCACTAAGCCATCAATAATCACCTCACAATCACTGGTTGAACAGTCACTTGCACCATTTTGCTCTCTACTATGTCTACTTGCACAGTCACTGGGCCCTGCACAGGGGATAATTGTAGCCATCATGGGGGAAGGGATAACTCAACTGCCCCACATTTCACCCTGCTCCTGCCTTTACATGCTGTATATTCTGGAGCTCTTGAAATAAGTGATAGACTAGAGGTTGTGTCTGTCCCAGAGGCTCCCTGCTGAGTCTGCTGTTAGCCCTTAAGCCCTGATCCTGGGGAAAGCCCCAGAGAGTGCTCATGTGAGCTCAAGATAGGTGTCTTTCCCTAGGGTTGGAAGCACTGCAGTATTCAATTGGTAATGATGTGTTCCTGCTGCTTGTGACATCAGTCCTGCCTGCACTCCCCACTGCCCACCAGGCTACATCTTTCAGCCCACCCCACTGCAAAGGTTACACCCCCATGACATAACCAGAGCACATTCCTCAGGGCCAGCAGGAAGGGAGTGAACACTGTACCTGAATTGAGGGGGTGGCCAGCTAGGGGCTCTCTCCCAGGACGATTCAAATCTAGGTGAAAGGCCAACTGCAGGGCCCTTGGGACAGGATGGAGTCCTGCCTGCCCTCATTTTCTTGGCTAATCTTCCTCTGGCCTTTTCCTTTCTACATTGTATGTTTTAATCTATTTTACAATTTTTCCCATTTAGTGCTGATGAATTCCAGTTTGACCTTAAAAACTACAGTTCTCCAATTGGCAGTCAAAAGATACCTCAGCAAGAGAAGCAGAAAGTGTTCCTTTTTCCTCAAAGTGTAGAAAGGCAGCCACTGTCCTGCAGCAGGAAGTGGCCCTGACAAGTGCTATTTTTAAAGATGCCCAATTTCAGGGGCTTGTAGCTCTGCCTGTGTAAGTACCTTCAATCTCTAACCCCAGGAATTCTGAGGGGCTGTCTCTGCTCCTGGCCCAGGTTCACAACACTGGAATGAACCTGTCCTCTGAGGAAGTGGGACTTGGGCATGTGCCTCAGGTCCAGGGAGGGAGCTGGCCCTTCTCCCACCTAAAATAAACGAGTGGTTCTGCAAAACTTACAAGGAATGAGTCTGATTTAACAGGAAATGAAGAGCAAAACCACAACTTCCAGGCTATAGTAGAAACATCCTAATATATAAAAACCCTGGGTCTGTCATGACCGGAGGCTCAACCAACCGGAAGTCAGTCCTGCAGTCAGCGCTGGGTTGCCATGGCGACCCAGCACTGACTGCTGAGGGGTTTGCAAATCAGGCCCGGAGAGAAGCTTGAAGAGAGAAGCAGGGTCTAATCTGTAGCCTCTGTGGCAGCTGTTGATCAGCACTTGCCTCTCTCTTTCTCTCCAGCAGCCGCGCCTCCATTTCTCTCCAGGCCTCCACTAGGGCTGCTGATCAGCCCCACCTTTCTGATCAGGCCCCCCATTGATAGGCCCAGAGACGCTGACTGGCATAGAAACCGACCAATCAGAACCAAATCTGGGTGAAGTGTGAGGAGCCAATGGCTGCCTAGGAGGCAGAGCTTTTGACACTGACTGGCATAGAAACTGACCAATTAGAACCAAATTGGCCAGCAGAGGAGGGCCATTGGGGGTGAGATAAGGCCAGCAGGGGAGGGCAGTTGGGGGCAACCAGGCCAGCAGGGGAGGGCAGTTGGTAGGGGGGACCAGGCTTGCAGGGGAGGGCAGTTGGGGGTGAGATCAGGCCGGCAGGGGAGGGCAGTTTGGAGCTACCAGGCCGGCAGGGGAGGACAGTTGGAGGCGATCGGACTGGCAGGGGAGCAGTTAGGTGTTAATCAGGCCATCAGGGGAGCGGTTAGGGGGGATCAGGCTGACAGGCAGAAGTGGTTTAGGGGCAATCAGGCAGGCAGGCAGGCAAGCAGTTAGGAGCCAGCAGTCCCGGATTGTGAGGGATGTCTGACTGCCAGTTTAGGCCCGATCCCACAGGGATCTAAACTGGCAGTCAGACATCCCTGAGGGGTCTCAGATTGGAGGGTGCAGGCTGGGCAAGGGACACCCCCCCAAGTGCACTAATTTTGTGCACTGGACCTCTAGTACTTCAATATAATACTCAAGTGTAGCTTTCACTTTTCACAAAAAATATTCTAATAAGATTTTTTTTTTTACCTTTTATACAAAAATCCAATCATACCTCCTCTGAAATCTTCCCTTCCCACTGACCCCACCTCCTGTGGTCTCAAAATCCTTTGTGTCTGGCACTTGCAGGGGAGCCAGAGAACATCAGAGGGACTTAGCTGTCTCCTGTTCACCTGGTGAAGAGCCACTTATGTGATGGGTGGGTCTCTCCCAGAGGAGGGGTAGGCAAGACTTGATGATGGGATCTTTGCAATTCCATGTGCTGACAAAGGCTAGAGAGGTGAGAGGCTGGGCCAGGACCCTGGGAAGTTCACAGGAAGGTAATGTAGACATGAGAACTGCAGTCTTCAGACCTAGTGGGTGCTCTGGCTGCCTATGGGCCTAGGTGACAGGGACCCACCTGTACCTGCAAAGGGACAGCTAGTCCTCTGGTTCCCAGAGAGCAATAGGCACCCAAAGCAGAAAGTGAGCCCTAGGAATCCAGGTCAGCCTATCAACAGTCTAGCATCATACACAGCCAGAACAGAGGTCTAATGGTGAGACGAGTCTGGAAGTGGCCTGGGCTGGCAGGTTGGGAGGGAGGTGCCTGGCTGGCTAGGGCCACTTCTGTCTAGCTACCTGATGAGCCACACCCTATAGAAGTGGTCCTGAGGCTGGCAATTGCCAAGAGTCAGAAGATGCCCATTGTGAACTAAAAAAGTAAAGCTAAAAAATATTAGAACAGAGGGGAATAATAGAGAACAGAGAAAAAAATAAAGCAAAAGTTGTTCTTCTGAAAATGATAATAACTACAGCCAGAGCTGGGTCTCATCCTACCTCTGGATCTGGTGCTGGAGCTGGCTAGAGCCCAGGAGTGCATGCTGAAGCAGGCCCTAGCTGTGGATCTGGTGATGGAGCTCTGGAGTTGCTGCTAGAGCTGGCTGGTGCTACAGCTGGCTTGGGGGGTAGTGATAGGGCTGCCTCTATCTCGGGTTGTTTGTAGACCTGGTGCTGGACCTAATTCTGGTGCAGGTGCTAGAATTGGTACTGAGACTAGTTCTAGTTCAGGATTTGGCACTGGCTCTAGCTTTGTAGCTCATGCCAGAGCCTCCTGATGCAGAAGCTGGCACTGGTGTGGACTCCAGCTTGGAACTAGTGTCAGAGTTGGTGTTGGATTTGATTCTAGCTCAGAATTGGTACTGACTCTGGCTTTGGAATTAGTTTTAGAGATGATTCTAGATCTATAGCTGGAGCTGACATAGGAGTTGGTGATATAGCAGTCTCTGTCTCTAGAGTTGGTGCCAGAGCTGACTCTTACTTGGGAGCTGATGCAAGAGCTGGTGCTGAAGTTGGCCCTAGCTCTGGTGTTCACTTCAGCTCTGGCAAAAATGGTGAGGCTGGTTCTAGCTCCAGAGACGGTGCTAGAGCTGCTTTAAATATGGCACTGGAGCTGGCTTTAGCATTGAAGCTGGTGCTGAAGCTGGCTTTGGCTTTAGAATTTGTTCTGACGCTAGAGCTGACTCTACCTCTGAAGCTGTACTAGAGCTGATGCTCATGCTAGCACTGGTGCTAGAAGTGGCTAGTTCTAGAATTGTTGGCAGAGTTGGTCCTGGAGCTGGTTCCACCTATGCTAGAGCTTGCTGTAACTCTGGAATGGGTACTGTCTCTAAATCTGGAAGTGGTACTAGAGCCAGATTTGGCTCTGGTTGAGTTGGTGCTATAGTTCTAGCTCTGGGGCTAATGATGGCTCTAACACTTGAGCTGTTGTTGGAGCTGGCAATGCAGCTGGCACTAGCTCTGGAGCTTCAGGTAGAGGAATGTTCACCAACGTGATCATCTTTCCATGCAATGTTTAAAAGACATAAAACACCCTCTTGCCTTGAAGAGAAACCCCAGTGCCACATCCAAGTAAGTATTCCCAGGCTGAAGTCCACCACTGAAACCCTAGTCATGCACAATTCCCTTGGGTGTTAATAGTGAGACCAGGAGACAGACCTGGTGCAGGACTCCTCTCCCTAGAATCAAAGATGCAGCCACAGATATCAGGAGAAAGCACCTCTCCTTAGTGATTTGATGGAATGTGACCCTGGAATCTCAGCAGAAAGCCTTTGAAGGAATAGCCTGGAGAGTTCCCTGCCCGTCCTGGGACTTCCTTTATTTGCTGATATTGGGGGTGGTTTATTCTGGCCAGACAATGGTTCAGCAGCAGGACATACTGACCCAGTCAGATCATCCACAGATAATCCAGCACACATTTCTCACAGGTTTCAAAGTCCATGGGCACCTTGTTTCCACACCCTCCTCACACGCACTGTTACTCAACCCTAAATGATGCCTCCTCCTAATATAACCTAACACCCACTCGGTTACCCATAGCCCATTGACAGAGACTTTTCCCTTGGTTGGTCACCATGTGAGTGATGCTGCCCAGAGGAAGCAGATTGCTCTTTCAATGGTTTATCCACATGAAAAGCCACCAAGGAAGTTAACTCTTATCGGGTCTGAGGACTCTGCAGAGATTCTGAGATACCAGAAGTGTGACACTACTTCTATCCCTACAAAACCTCAACCCTACCCTCGCCATTACCCCTAACCCCTCTCCCTAACCCTTAATCCTATCCCTAGACCTAACTTTAGCCCTAACATTAACCCCTTGCACTTACCCTCACCCTACCACTAATCTTAACCTCTTATCCTCACCATCACTCTAACCCCCAAATTCTCACCTTAAAACTAATCCTAACTTAAAATCTAACCATAACCATAACCCTAAACCTAACTCTAAGCCTAAATCTATCCTAACAATAATCCATAAACCTAATTTAAACCTAACCCTCTAACCCTAACCCCCTGACCATTTACCCTTAACCCTAAACCTAACCCCCTAACCATAATCCTTTAACCTTGACCCTGGCTCTTAATTTTAACCCTAATCTATAAACCCAAGCCTAAGCTCAAACCCCTAACCCTAACCCCTATTTATACTTTCTGCACACTCCCCCCCGCCCAACCCCCTCACTCCACACACAGAGAAATACTTTCTGTTTGGAACAATGCATGGGTTTGGGGCCTGCAAAGGAACAGTCAGCTGGAGTTGAGAAGAGGATCAAGAAAGTAGTTGGGCCGAAACCGGTTTGGCTCAGTGGATAGAGTGTCAGCCTGCGGACTGAAAGGTCCCAGGTTCGATTCCGGTCAAGGGCATGTACCTGGGTTGCGGGCACATCCCCAGTAGGGGGTGTGCAGGAGGCAGCTGATCGATGTTTCTCTCTCATCGATGTTTCTAACTCTCTATCTCTCTCCCTTCCTCTCTGTAAAAAATCAATAAAATATATTTAAAAAAAAAAAAAAGAAAGTAGTTGGGCTCTGGCCAATGTGGCTCAGTTGGTTGGGCATCATCCCATGCACCAAAGGGTTGCTGGTTTGATTCCCTGTCAGGGCACATGCCTAGGGATTGTGGGCTCAATCCCTGATAGTGTGCATGCAGGAGGCAGCTGACCGATGTTCTGCTCTCCCATTGATGTTTCTTTCTCTCTCTCTCCCTTCTGCTCTAAAAAAAAATCAATTAAAAAAACAGTGGTTGGAAGCAACTTTGTCATGGGGCAGGGCTGCCTAGTCTCCCAGCAGCACACTCACAGCCCCATATTTGGGAGAGGAAGAGATGCCAGTCTGACAGGCAGGGGAGTCCCCAAGTCTCTCAGGGGCCTTCTGGCTGGGGCCATCTGCAGAGCAACCTGGAGAGGACGGGTCTAGGGTCCTGTGTCTACCTCTGTGGAACCTGGAACAAGGATGAGCAGCCCCACTAAGTGTGGTGGAGCTACAGGGGAGGAGGCCTCAGGAGCACAGAGTGGTGACCCTAGGTTTCCGCATAGTTGGAGAAGTGTTTGATGGACTCGGTCCTTCACTGACGGTCCACTGTGCCTGAGCTCCCTGGTGGACCTCCAAGCTGAGAGCAGTTCGCGGACTTGGGGGATTGAGGACCTGGTATAATAT